GTTCAGAAAAAACTTTACCCTTTTCTTTAGTTTTATTTGAACTACTCTTTATTTCATTTTCCATTAAGATTTTAAACTATCCAAGCGTATTGTATCTATAAAAATGTATTCTCAAATTCATTTTTATTACACTTATTATTACACTGGTATACTTATTATTACACTGGTACATTGCCTATTTATAAAGGTTTAAATCACCTGCTACTTTCATCTCTGCACTGCTTAAAGGTTGACTGGGAGACAATGCCCAAGGCATTAAGTCCACCTGTACACACTTGTTGTATGAAGAATAAATAAATATTTTTTTATAAATAAATTGTATCTTAAATGTTTTCTTGAATAAATGTTTACTGATCAAATGATAATAATCATGCAAAACTTATACAATATGAATGAAGTACAGCAATACTGAAAGAACGAACTTATTCATTCAAACATTCTTAGATTTTCATTCGATTTATCATTCGCAATAAAAAAAAACAATATTATGATTGCCAACCCTAAACCCGTCAAGGATCGTGTACCGATCCTGGGGCTATTCGAAATAAATATCCGTCCTATTGAAATATTTTAAAATTGGAATAAGAAAAATATAGTGGCTTGAATTGCGGCCAGGTATATTTTACATGGAAAAGATAGAATAGGAATGCAATAAAATATGTTCTCACTATTTTTATGAGGGAACATATTTTTCTTGTAGTTTGTTCTTTTCTTAAAGATTGTTTATTAAATTATAAGCTGACTGATTTCTAGATACTTAGGCTTACAGAGACTTCAGATTGAAGCTGTTATCGAACTTGGTTTAGCAGTAGACGTCTTGCAGTTTACAATAAAAATACACTATGGAACGTAATATTCATTAAAATTCATAGTGAAGTCAGAATAATCATTCGATCATATATCGTTCGTTACGTATGTCGTATCGTACGCTCAATAGTCGTACTTAATACCGTAGTTTCCAGGGTATCAAAACTAAAAATGTAATTAGTCCATCGGTTAGGTAATGAAGAAATATTAGACATGTATTTTTTTATTTTCTCGTATTAAACTATCAAACACCAAGCGGTCACCGGTGACCGCAACCTATTGTTCTATAATTGTGTCTATAATAACGGTACTCGACGAGTTAAGTTGCAATACTTAGATAAAATGGCGCTAAGTTTAGGAGTAGGAGGTCGTTACGTCATAACGTGCTACAAAATATGACATGCTGTGACATCACACGATATTTGAAATTATATATATAATATATTGTCGAAAGTATTTAATTTTGTGAGAAAAGTAAAAACACGTGTCTAAAGTTTTAAATGAATGTACTAGACGGACATTAAAATTAAATTTAGGAAACGACCCTATTGGAAAGTACGCATATAATAGCTTCATTCCCAAGATTGTAAGCAGTATTCAATTTACCCACAAACACGACCTGATCGAATAACAAGAACATCTAGCGTTCGTAATCGATTGTATGCATATTACATACAATGCGGCTTGCAATGATTAAATAATGCAGCGTTTTATATTCGAACAATGTGATTACCATAAGTATTGGTATTTTATAATTTATTTAGATAATACTGGCACAGTTATACAGTACCTATATATACAAACACGGTAAAGGAAAATATTCTGAGAGAACCTGGATTTATAATTTCTAATTATAAGTTGGAATAATTTCAATTTTAAGGCATCAATATCATAAATAAATGGGTCACATTTTAAATGTAACACTAAAATTTAAAAATGTTAATTATACATGATGGTGAATAAGGCTTACATTTATCATAAAGTCTAATAATCTTAGTCAGAATTACACAAATTGACAATTTCACAGTCAAACCAATATTTTTTTATGTAAATAGTTATTATAGTATTATTCTTCAATACGGCCTACGCGCTACGAGCGTAGCAAGCGTAGCACTAACCAAACTTATGTCGAGTGCTACGAAGTGTTTGCGTAGCGGCTACGTAGCGAGCTGTTCTACCATTATGTTGTTGCGAGGCTCTAGTTTTAATCAGTAATTTTGTTAAAATATTTAATTTTTTGTAGTTGAACCTGCCTACCGACGATTTTTTTAAGAAAAATATATTTTTTTTGTTTATTAAACGATTTTATGTAACATATACACGTAGAATTTAATTTATCATTAACATTAAGAATAATGTATTATAAAAATGTAACTTAAGGAATAGTTCTTACTAGCATACTATTAATCCAAAACTACTACCCTACCTCACAATATAAACAACTAATTTATACAACAACTACCAAACTCAATAAAAACAAATTAAAACAATATTAAACCCATGACAAACGTTAATTAAATTAACAGCTGATTTGAACAACGTACGCGAAACCTAAGTCGGGTGCCATAATCAAATTCAATCCTCAAACATGGCCACACCATGAATATTCATGCGGCGGTACTATCGTAAACCGTCATGTCCAATACGCGCCGTGTAAGCATACATACGCAATTAATTAATAGCCAGCCAGCGTTAGGCAACATCTGGGACATAGACACGGGTCGGCGATTAAATTTTATGATCGCAGCAGATGTACGCTGTTGTTAATGGCCGCATGCAATCGGTGACGCGTTCCGTTAAATTTGAATTTGGAACAATGATGACGTGTGGTGGGATGCATTGTGATTTATTTTGTGTCTAGGAAATTGTGTTTCGAACTAAGCATTGTTTAAATCTAACAAATGTTTGTATTCTAACACTTTTCTATTATATGTATTTGATCATACCGGTATACATATAAACTAACGTCTTGGTCTGCTGGGGTGGACAGATACAATCTGTACTATAAACCCTGTATTTTCAAAGTAGTCGTCCAGTTCAGCTCAATGTTTATTGACTTTTTGAAACTACGTTTACATATTCTCAAAATGAAAATATACTACAATTAGCAAACTAGAAACAAAGTGCTCCATTGTATTAAATCCACAATTATTTCCTTTTTCTGAACAGAACGTAAAGGACATTTAAAAAACACTAAATACAAAATCTATGTAGATTATGCAAGCTGAACCGATAAAAAATGTATTCCGTAATTGGATAGCAACGGAGAGTCGCATTGCGGTGGACTAGTAACTAGCAGCCTAACTTAATAGCTGACATATATCTATTCTATTATAATATGTCGGTTTTGATGCATACTCGACGCCCATTGGCTGTTAACACTAATATACATGATGTTGTGTGTTACATTGTACAGTGGCATTAAGTGCCATAAATAATGTGCACCTCTGCATACCAATTCGTGTATAAAAGGCGTGATGTTATATATAGACCGATTCGATTCCCGAGACGGGCAAGATAGTACCGACTTTAAAAAAAAATCTCAGCTCTGAGTCAGGAATTGTGCCCAGTATATGGCAATAGGCTCACCCCCTGTTACATGGGACTCATAACATAAATAGTGAAAAGTGGGTGCTACATTGTAAGTGGCAGTAAGTACTGTAATGTGCACGTCTGCCTATCCCTTCGGGGTTAAAAAAACGTGATGTTATGTATCTCTTATACAAATATAAAATACTAGGTCAAGACCTAGTGCATTAGTTTAGTTAATAAGTTAATTGGTGATATGTGGTGTATGACATTAATCATATAAGAAATATCGAAAGTTTAGTGGTTCAGTCAAAGGTTCCAAAGTCGTCCTCGCCAGATCGAATCGAACGATCGAAGAAAAGCCGTTTTTTTTAAACTGTCTGTTAAAATAGTGCCACTGGGTTGAAAATAGTGGCGAAAGTAACAGATTCATTCTTTCCCGGTCGAAATACAAAAACTAGAACCTAGTTTTACCTAACTATTTTAAGTAGAAAAATGATGGTTTGCATTTCGAAAATATAATGTGAATGTATGTGTGAATTAAATAAAAATCTGTATTCCATTTCATTCCATCGGATTTGTCACACATAAATATATGAAATGATATTTTTATTAATTTTGCACCGGATTGAGTATAAAAACTGTTAAACTGCAAACCGGATCTGAACACAAAAGAAAGGTTGGAAAATAAACAATAAATTACTATTTACATATATTTATTTAAAGTTCTCTATAAATTAAATTTTTAAATACTACTTACAAAATAAAAAAAAATATTTAAAAATATAAAAAATAGGAGCGGGAGCATGGTCCAAGCTACCAGTGGTTAGGGCTTCAGAGACTGAAACCTCCTCACGATACGTGCCGTTTCTAGGTGAACTGCCTTCTGTATCAGGGCCTATTATTGTTAAAAGATTTTATTCAATTTCAATTCTGTTATAAACTGCGTTTAATAAAACCTACTTCAGTTCCTTCTGTTGAATTTAGTTGATTAATATACTAAAACCGCATCAAAATCAGTTCAGATAATTGCGAGGTAATCACGCACCAACATACATCATACATTCAGGTCATACTGATAACGTCCTTTTTTTAAAGTCGGTTAAAATATAATGTGATGGAAATTAATTTTTTTTTTATTATTATTTTCAATTTCATTTACAATCCTAGGTCTTAGTATTCTATTATTTTATGAAGATTCTAAAATAAAAATGTATCAAATTAAAATATTTTCTGTGGGTTATGTATGAATAATGTAAATATTTATCTTTGAGAGAATTGTTATTTCAACGATAGAGCGATTTATTTATCACTAACAAGTTATTATTTTTATAACCTTGGTCTTATTATTTGTTTTTATTATGCGCAGCTTTGAGTCATACTGTGTATTTATTTTATTAAAATAATAACTTCGTTGACTATGTATTAACATTGTGAAACTTGCAGTGTTAGTACGGTGATACCTACATGTCAAAAAAGTAATAGAAATAAAAACAGAGCGGAATATGTTTTGAAGTAGACTTTGTTCTACTAAAAGAGAAAACTCCGTTACATCTTTATTAACTATACAAAACCTGAGCACAGGTAACCTTCCATGCTCACCAACCAACTCATCTAAATCACCACCTTTAAAAAAAAACTAATTCCATTTTCCTTATCCACAGATAACTTCCAAGGGGACATTGCAATACCAAGCGTGGACTACTTCAAACCTCCAACGAGTGCTCCAGTTAACAAGATAAACAAATCACTTCAAGAAGAAGTGGAGAGGTTGAAGAAAGAGGTGCTACTAGAGGGACTGCAGGTAGAAGAGGAGGGACTACCAGACATATTGAGGAAGAGGACCAAACAACCTCTGCCGTTATCGCAAGAGAAGCCTAAGAAGTACAATGAAGCTGTGCTGATGACAAAGGTAAGAATAAAAATAAAATAGGTTGTATAGGTTATCACCACTTCCATCATAAAACATATTTCATTCCTCAGTTGCAGTTTTTGACAGTCTTTAAGACGAAATTACAAAAAATTACTGATGCTTGATATGATTAAAATACATGAATAATGATTATCTTTAAAAGTTACTCAAACTTATGCAAACTCGTGTAATTACTGAAATCCTTAAGAATTCTGTAAACTCCATCAAATTATTTTTGATAGATCCTCTGAAGTTTGCGCCATCAAAAATATTATGAAAGCTATGGCTTGTCTTACGCAGGCACTAACTTCGATCACCACCTGTTGCTGGCGTATTTTATAAGAAATTCTAATATTCAAAATGTTCAGAAATATGGATGCCAACACACTTAATTTTTTGATAAAGTGTTTGTTACGTTGGCAATTTACTTTGTGCTTTTAAATTGTACCGAGCCTACCTGCCATCCTAGCCATCTAGTGATTGGTTGTTTAAGATAAACAATTTACTTGAAAGGTTGAATTGGTAATAGTCTATTGTCAGTTTTACTGAACCACTTTATTTAATGGAACATTTTCTATTTCAGGCTTTACCTCCAGGCTTAGACAAATCGCTGTTGTTAAAAAACGGCAAATTACCCCCAGATGAAATGTTAGATAATTACACTAATTCGTTTAATCAAACGAAATCGGACCACTTGAACCAAACAACGGTACAAGATAATCTGACTGAATCAGAGAGTTTGGAACAAGATGGAGTCCTTGTAGTAAACGTATCAACGAACCACATACTTAATTTAGACGAGTTCTATCCTAATCTACAAATCACTAATGTGTCTAACAAAATGGATGAGATCACTAATAAGATACAGAGCAACAGTAGAGAAATTACGGGAGATTCTAAAAATAACATCAAGTTTAAGGGTATGCCTGATAACATCACTGTGGCTCCTGCTCCCACTAATGGGGTTTTGCCGTCGAGCGAGCAGGACGAAGAGAAATTGATAAACAAGACAGATTTAGAAGATGGGAAGTTGTCAGAGCCTAATTTGTTGAGGCCAACGGAGAGTCTGCAGAACTTAATGGATGAGACTGGTGGGAGACGGTACCGGCGGAGGAGACGGAGACACGGTAATGGAAGACGGTATGGCTTTGACTTCCATTCTCCTTTTCTCTGTTCTTTTTTAAATATTTTACTTCAGAATTCACGTTTTGTCCTTCTATCTGATCTTACATCTTATGCTTGCCAAAATGTTTTTAAATTAATTCTATGACATTTCGAACACAAGAATGTGAGATATTGATAAATCAACATCGTCTTTAACATGATATAAATTACCTAAAAATTACGAGTTATTAACATAAATATACTGCGAAAAGCTCTACTAATTTCGAGTCACAGAGGGCCTCTTTTACTTCCAGTAGGTTGCGCGACATGCATCGCCTCGATCGCGACGTTGCTCATGAGAAAGAGCCCCTCTGTGACTCGAAACTAGTAAAGCTTTTCTCAGTATATTTACGTGAGTTACTCGTAATTTTTAGTTAATTCAGCATGCTGATGAGACATGTCTCAAGATAGTTATTTTAAAAACACGATATAAATTATAATCATTAATTTCATCAAAGTTATAGTTAGTTATGAATACAGCTAAATGAGAATATTTCCTTCATAAATTCCTGCATAACTTTTTATTAATATACCTAAGATACTATTCTCACATTTCTTGCTCACTTTAATTTATCTTAAGAGTGCAACGGAATGAAAAATCTAGGGGATGGAATAAAATTCTTATTTATTAAATGCTGTATAATTAAATCCACTCTTAACGAGCTCTCAACATCTTTTTATTGCTTTACGTTTAGAAATAAAAAGGAACTTTATTATTCTTTTGAACATTATTTCAGTTTAAAACACAATATCACAGATTTTATTCTACAAAGGGGTTGGCAATTAGCCGGTTTATTATTTCTTCTAAAATTGACCCACGTAAGTGTTGGAACCCAAAAATGTATAATAATAATCGACGGGGCACTCGTAGACAATACTACAGATCATATTATACAATCCGAAATTAATAACATTTATAAGTTCAAAATCTGGGTACTAAGATCGATTAATTGTTCGATATGCATACAACTTATGCCGAAAATTTAAATAATTAATCTCGGAAGTAAGTGGATATACCCAGTACCGTCTTTACCTTATGGGCACTCGGAGCCCGTGCCCAGGGAGCCACTACACGTTCCACGGCAACCGGCCGCCCGGCAACATGCGCGGGATCGATTCCCGCTCGTAGCAAATCTTTGTGTGATCCACAAATTGTTATTTCGGGTCTGGGTGTCATGAATATGAGAACTTGTATATTTGTAAATGCACACACGATACAGGAGAAAATCCTAGTGTGGCGCAATGTTAAAAAAGAAGAAACATTCCAAGAGGGCCCCGAATTGTTGTATGCTGAAGGGCCCCAGCGTAGTCTAAAACGGACCTGTATATACCTTAACATAAGTAGGTATAAAATTACTTTCCTTGAATGAATGGGAAACCGTATTCATGTAAACTAAGAACATTGATTCGTGATTTATATCTGTATTCTTCCATCTCAATCAAATTACGGAACAATTTGATTTGTCCCCATTTCCCTTGTATTTCATGTCACAAACAATTTGGTCCTATTATTTCATTTTCAACAATAAAAGGTTTAGATGTCAACAAGTCAGCGATTTTTTTTGACTTAGTCCAATTTCTGTATAATAAAAGTCTTTTATCGTTAGAATCATTTCTAATTTGATGTTTAAAATCATGCAAAAGCGTTTATTTAATTAATGTTGTTAGTTTTACAAACTATTTGAATTTTAAACTATTTAGAGATCAATAGTACATGTTTAAATACTATTGTTTTCCTCCTTCCAGTCATACGCATTTTGTAGCCTAGACTAGCCCTTTTTTTGGGGGGAAAAGGGGCAAATCATCCGATGACTTCTCCCGCCTAGGTGAGGCAAGAGGGAGTGCCAGACTCTTGCTGACTAAAAACCACCTCGTTCCTACTCCTGCACTTTGAGCCGGAGCCCTGGTAACCCGTTAGTCCTCCGCGGCTCCGTATCAGTATCAGCCCTATTGGACCTCATGTGTGATGGTCTGATGACTCCTTGAGGCGCGTGCCGCACGCTCGGGTCTGGTTCTGGTCGGGTGACGAGTCACCCGTGCTCGCCGCCGGCAGGCTAGCCCTAAAAATTGCAAACATAAGAAGAATGATCAAACTAGTGCTGGTGTTATTGTTCTGTTTTGATTTCCGAATACTTTCTCGAATTCGATTCCTATCTATCTATATTTATTTCGAATTATCTTCCAATTTGAAAACTATATCTTTTAAATTTTGGTACTACTATGTGAATTGATCTTATCTTAAACCATATTAAGGGTCAAAGAACTCCACATGAACTTCAATCTAAAATTTCCGCCCCAACATTATCTAACCATCCATCGTGTCTTAATAAAGAGTCATTAGTGACTGTTCACTGCGCACTTTTTCCTTCGCCGTCGTCCAAAGGATCGGGACTAAAAACTCTATTGAATCCTATGAATAAGCCTCGTCTCGTAATTGCGCCGACTATGTTTCCTTCCTTTCCTATAAAATTTGAATCCCTGACAGTTATGCTGCGATCTAAATTTTGTTCACTTTTTAGCGATTCCTCTGCTCTGGAAGTCTTTAAAGTTTTGCTTTCAACTTTTCCTAATGAAGCTACTTTTGTACAATCTTTGTAGCTATCGTCGTTGCGTTCAATGTTTATGCCATACTAGCTTCTGCCAGCGGCTTCGCCGGTGTTCTCATGGAAAAAAATTAGCCTATGAGTAATTCCAAACCATAATCTACCCTTGCTCCAAATTTCATTCTGATCCCTTTAGCCGTTTTCACGTAAAAGACTAACAAACAAACATAAAGACTGTTGCATTTGTAATATTGGTAGAATAAACAGTAATAATTATGTCTACCCCGAGCTCTTGATTGAACACTAAAATCCATTCTTAAATTGCAAGTACATACTTACCTATCCAACCATTAAGTAAATGGGCCATGGGCAGTTAAACCATAATACTGTCATATATCATAGTACTGTACAATATTGTTAACGCATATAAATAATGTCATACGCCTTAGCCATACAGTGGGATGATCATGGCAAAAAAATGGACTTCGAAAGATGTAGGGATGTTGTGTATTACATAGATTCATACAATATACATACATACATGTACAAGGGTACACCTCTCCACGTATTATATTCTACTTGATCCAGCGATTCCAAACCAATTACTCAATATACGTAACTTGAAGCACAGGGTCTATTGTAAGGTTCTTACAAAATCCAGCTTCCTCAAAGAGTCTAAAATCACAGACGTTGCTCTAAGAAATGCAGTGCATTTAGATTCGTAATCTGCATAGCCTTGGTAGGTCCATTCATTGACTTTATTTAAACTAGTCTCCTCGACTTTACGATCTGCTATCCTTGTCTATTTACTTTATTTTTAATGAGCTTGTATTTTTTCTTTTATGAGTATTATATAGATTTAGTATTTACCTATCAGCACTTTGTTTTTTGAGGGTGGTAAATCATCAAATTACTCCTCCCGCCCGGGTGAGACTATAAACCACTTCGTTGCTACTCCTGCACTTGGAGCTCCGGTTACCCGTTAGGTCCACGGCGGCTAGGGTTCCACCGACTTCTCTAATATAAATATTGTGTGTAAAAACTGGATCTACAACATTAGACACACCCCTAGCAAGAAGAAACGATATTTTAAAATTCAAATATCAATTTTGTATTTTTGTACCATAAAATCGACTAACGAACTAGTTTCTAAACATAAATTTTCATTTCAGGCTCAGAAATATCCACTCAAGCGAAAGATCAGGACAAAACACGTTAAATTCTGCTGAAAATAAAACAACTTCTCAATTCGTAAGGAAAAAATTTTTTCGTCACCACAAGAAGCACAGCAGTGGTGAAAGGACTGAAAAGAAGTTCGAAATTCCTGAACATGAGTTCGAAGAGAGGTTCGAACTGAAACCACCTCCAAAAAACATTTTGAATGCGACAGAAACACACAATTTTGACAATTGGTTTTTTCGCAACGATACAGATGACTTAGAAGCGGTTGAAAGTAATTATTATAATGGCAGTGAGGTAAGGAACTATGATTTTAATATATTAACAGATTTGTTCCTGAAATTTTCGCTTGCATTGTCACCAAACCAATATACCTCTAGAAAAACATATCATTAAATTTAATTTCATATCTTCAAAGCTTTTCAATATTTATATTATAATTTTCGTGAAACATAATAAATTCATTATTATGATTTCGGCTTACTCACGAAACTGTTTAAGTAACTGTTTGATCAAGAACTCAACTAGTTTCAAGCCGTGTTAGAGGCTCATATTCATGGGCAGCATCCGCGAATTCACAATTCCATTTGAAATTCTTTTTATTTGTATCATACACACACTATGCTATTATTCACCTAAAGAAAATCAGAACGCAAATACCTCAATTGAATTCCAAATCGAGAATCTCACAAAAGGCACGAGTTTGACTCTCCGACCGCCATCATTAATCACGGCAATATAATTAAACTGCATGTAGATGACAAAGATATTCCAATTTAAGCTTTGTTACCGCGTTGTCAGCGATTAAAATCAATTACCAGCAATTATGTTAATCCGGTGATTGGGCTAGCTTTAAGGCGTTCTCATTGAGACCATCTGCATAATAATTGATTATAGAATTACCGAAATTAATGGATTCTGGAAATGTTTAGTTGATTACAAACATACTTTGACATAGTTTCATATACGGATAGAAACATAAAACCATTTAGATTTGGTTTGATTTAAAAATATTGGATGCTGTTAGCAAAAGATTAAGAAAGAACATGCATTGTTTATGTAGGTAGGTAAAACTAAAATTACATACTTACACATTAAGTGTGGGAGAGCCATGCTTAGGCATGACCGGAGTAATACCACGGCCTCACAGAACACCGACGTGACACGACCAACTTGCGTTGCGTTTCGTATTGTGAGTAAGGTTACCGGAAACCCAATTACCCCCCCTCCTCCTCCTCCTCCCCAGTATCTCAAATCCCTGAATCCCTCACAATCACCAAATTCCTAATTCCCAAAAGGCCGGTAACGGACTTGTAAAGCCTTTGGTGTCATGTGTCCATGGATGACGCCGATTGCTTACCATCAGACACCACTATAAATTCAACGTAAACAGAAGCCAAATCTATTAACATAAAAAGTGTAAAGTAAACAAATAGCTAAATTATAATCGAGGAAAAGGTTCAAAATAGTTAGTCGGCTTATACAAATTACTCTAATTTATCTCTATTTATAAATCTCAAGTAGGATTGAATGTATTTATAGATATATTAATTAATAGATAAGTTTGAAACACTCACTCCGCTAATTGATATAGACATTTGATAGGAAATAGACGATTCATTTTGGATAGGCAGTTTGGTCCAAAAATAGACTATTAATAGTCAGTTAGTCATAGCAATATCTTTGTTTCTAAACGTTGACTAATCTGTTGTAGACGGAGTTACCTAAACCTTTGTCTCTTTGATTTCATATTTCATTTGGATTGATGTTTAATTTAGACAGTTTATTGTAATTAAGTTAAGTATGGAAGAGTCATACTTCGGCACGAATGGGTCAGCTCGACTACAGTGGTACCACGGCCTCACAGAAAACCGACGTGAAACAACGCTTGCGTTGTGTTTCGTTGTGTGAGTGAAGTTACCGGAGGCCCAATTACCCCCCTCCCCCTCCGAAATCTACCCAATCCCTGAATCCCTAACAATCTTCAAACTCCTAATCCCAAAAAGCCGGTAACGCACTTGTAACGATTCTGGTGTTCCAGGTGTCCATGGGCGACGCCGATTGCTTACCATCAGGTGATCCGTCTGCTAGTTTATAGAAATTATCAATAAAAAAATTGCTTTTAATGTTCTGTTAGATAATAATAAAATCCTTTTCTTATTTAACTTCAGTTAGGTTTTGAAGTAATATCATAATGCTATACCAAACATTCACTAAAAAGTAATCAGTTAAATAAACCAGTATTCATCACACATTCCTTCATACATTACATACACTCAGTGTGCGAACTAATGTATTCTAATTTCACATTACTTATTCCCTTTAATTTTCAGTTTATAATTGTTTAATTCTAAATTTCTTTCTTTTTATTTATTTTTATAAACTTATGTTTAGCTTATGTCCTTGGTATAGTAGGATCGCCTACCACAAGCATTTTCTTGCTTAACAGGTTTTTCCTAATGTTTTGTTGGTATGTACATAATAGTTGATGAAATATTTTTTTTTTATGTTGATATAGTCAAATGCTACTAAATTTAAGTCGCACTCATTTGTCACTACAAATTCTTTGTAAAATGACAGAGATGGCACGATATTTAAGTTCAACTCAAATTGAGAAACCTTTCAGTCTTCAGAAATTACCAACACTTCTGACACGTTAGTTGACAGTTAGTCAAATACAATACTTTTTTTGAAATGTCAAAAACGATACTTTTCTATGAATTTTGTATTTGATCGCAACCTGTGACGTCATCATATTTCTGCGTCAAATAGCATACATATTTCCTTAAAATTAGCGAGAAAAAATCCAAACGTAGGTAAATCGTCAAATGCATAGATGACAGTATGATTATTTTTTAATTATTTATTGCATTGAAAAGTCGAAACAATTTATTTTAAACTTAGGAAACTACCCAATTCATAATAGGAATTAAAATGGAATTTAATATTAGACAATTATATAAAACGATGCTTTATACATACTACCACTAAAAACAAAATTACCACTCATGTTGTCGAAAATGAAAAACGACTAACAAAACTCTACAATGTAAATTGTTACCAATCTACAAATAATCACAATTTCCTACAGGTGGCAAAAAAGCGTCACCGTTCAATACGTGCAGCAACGAATAGGAAGGAAAGAATTTGGGAGCATGGCGTGATTCCATACGAGATCGATGGGAACTTCAGTGGCGCTCACAAGTCACTATTCAAACAGGCCATGAGACACTGGGAGAACTTCACTTGCGTCAAATTCGTTGAAAGAGACGGTGATCTCCATAAAGACTACATTGTTTTTACTGAACGTCCTTGTGGGTAAGTCTATTTTGCAATTTTAAACTGAATGTTATGTTAATAAGGTCGAATGTTGAGGTTAAGTAATGCCTTGGTTTTTGGGAAAATATTTTGAGGCTATTTTTGTGATTATTCATCAACCCTTTTACCGTAACTTGTAGTATTTAAGAAATTCAAAATGTTGAATTTTTAGTAAATGGCTAGATTTAAAATTGTATATTTTAGTAATGAAAAGGTGAATGTCATGAAAACCTTAAGTATATAGGCATAAGAACTATGTTGTTGAAAAATGAACTATATTAGATATTCTAACCTATTTCTAGATATATGAAATCATATTGCTGGTGACTAAGTATGCCACTGTTCACACCTAAACTCCTTCCTATGTTGTCACCATTACAGTCAGTATTACGGAATCAGGACACCATTTGTAATCTTTTTATTGGTTTGATAGAAATAAATATCGTATGGCAACATACAATGAAACTATGATGTCAGAGTGTACAGAAATGAGTTATTTCTTTGAATTAGTAAATAGTTGAGCTAATCAAGCATTAATTATTATATTTTTCGCTTTCACACGTATTGTTTGACGAGGACCTCGACTAATTTCAAGTCATACTAGGGCTCATACTCATGAGCAGCATTCCGTGACACGCGACGCGGTGACTGTCACGCTGCTACTACTAAATATTTTTCTTAGAAATTATGAGATAAATGAGAATAGTACAACTCTCCTAAATGATCCCCTAAGCTTAGATAGGTTACACTTAACGGCATTTCGGTTTCACTAATCTCAAAGTGACATCTAATGGTAAAGGTAAGCAATTAGTTTAATTGCCACGCTAAGTAACTCTTAGTTAAGAGATGGTTTAGGGGTGGTTGATGACGGTCATAACCTGTTATTCGTTTCACAGTTGTTGTTCCTTCGTCGGGAAGCGCGGCAGTGGTGCTCAAGCGATCTCCATCGGCAAGAATTGCGACAAGTTCGGCATTGTAGTCCATGAGCTGGGCCACGTGGTCGGCTTCTGGCACGAACACACCAGACCCGATCGAGATCGACATGTGCAGATCATCAGGGATAATATTATGCTAGGTAAGTTGTTTAGTGTCTTTAAGGCCGATTTTCCAATCATCAGTTAATTCAAAACTAGATTAAAATTGACAGTTGATAGTTTTCAGTATGGAAAAATTGTCAAATATTCAAACTTATTCCTCTGATAAGATTTAACTGGCGCTCGGAAAATCGGCCCTAAGTCTTCTAACAAGGCTTGATCAATGGCTCTTCAAACAAGCAATCTTGTTGTTAATTAGCAATAGGGGCCAGATTTTTATGACATTATCTGAAAACAGAAACTGCAACCTCCACAAAGTGCAATACCTTCCTTAGGAAGGTCTCGTGCGGCCCCTAAATTTTTAAATCGAGTGCAAAAAAAGGAACAAAAAACAAAGACTATCAAGATATTGTCAACTAAATGATGCCAGTGGTTTAAAATAGCATCACCCGTTTCCACAATTAGACTACTAACCAATTAAAAATTGTACTCAGTCCAAAGAAAGCACACTTACTTTTCCCTTGAAAGCATAAAAAACGTAGTATACAATAAAAAATACTCTATTACCATACAATTAAAATACAGGTTCGCAAATCTGGGCGCGGTAGGGTCGAGTTAGCACAAGTTAGCGCGGGACAATGTCACGGCTACTCGTGTGAGTGCGGTTAGCCTCCGATGTGGCTGGTAGCTGACCGGATAGATGTGTCATATATACATATTATGTAGTTTGTAGTTGGTCATTCACTTTAATATTGTCTTGTTCAATCATCTGTTTTATTTTAACCTGATGGAGATGTTTCAGTTTATAGTAACATTCTATATTTTATTAGAACAATAAATACATAGATGTATACCTTAAAATACACTAAAGCTAATAAAGAAAATTAGCTAATTAAAATAATAAGAAAAGGAAAGAAAACAATAGTTCATAATTTTTTTTTTTCAGAGATATCTGTCTATCGGATATATGTATTTTAAGCACCTACATAGTTGGCATTATTGGTAAAATTTAAATTCCAAGTCTAATATTGAAAATTCCTCAATTAATAAACAATAATAACTAATTTGATGGACCTATTTGTCGAAACTCAGTCCTTATGCACGAGGACCTCTTGATTGAAGAAACTTAAAAGAACAAAGCTATAAACAATAAATCGCCCATAACGATGTAGTATTATGATCAAACATATTGATACACAAAGAATAAGACGTCACATCGAACCAAACAATCTGGAGCATAAACTCAACTTAATTTACGATCCCCTTTCAATTACATTCACGTATCTGATTATAATATAATCCGGTATGAGTACAACCCTGAACAATACGCACTCACTAAGCACGCACTCACTACGCACTCACTACGCACTTACAGTACGCAATGTGCGCATACTTGACCCGAATACAATGCCAGAACATCTTCCCGCGATTCTTTGCAAAGAGCGTCCTATCACACCGTAGTCGTGTTTCTAAAAAGGAATTCGTCAGCACTTTTGTTTAATTTGCTTTGCCAGTCTAAACTACAAGGCTTTCTAAATATTGTTGGATTAAAGAACTTGTTTTCTGTAGTAGTTTAATTTAGAATTACAGTACCTTCATACATTAATCTTATTAACTCTTTTAGTTATCAATGGATATGGTTAGTTTTACAACGTATACCTACGCACCTAAAAAAAAACACCGAACCGAACCGTAATATACAGTTTTAATAATTCATAGTGTTTTTAGAGCATTAAAATATAAACTAAAATTGTTTAAGTTAGAATACCGTGTCAATTTTGTAAGTACATAAACTGCTCCTAACTATTTCGTGCAAATGTTTTAAGCAATCTTGTTGTAAGTTGAAAACATCATATCCAATTAATGCACGCCCACGTACTTTTTACCTCAGGCTTATTCTACTTTCAAGCAAGTATTATTATTGTATTGACTACAAACTTTAAAAGATTTTCGCTTAAAATTCTAGACAATCCCCAAATCAAATTACATTTTTAGTCTACGTCATTTTTTAAAGTAAACAGAAAAATATTTTTATCGTATGATTAAATTCTGATACAACATTTTCACAACTTTCCAATTTTCTTGTCGTTCTTTGAAAACGTTAATCATTCCATACCATCAGCACTTTTTTTATCGACGACTTTGATGTCAAAATAAGTTTTCTAAACGAACTTGTTGACGTGTAATAATATAAACGATCTATTAACAAAAAAAAAGATAAATCGTGCTGTCAATCAGAAATAAATGCAAACGGTATAATTATTGCGAAACATTTTCTTTTATTATTAAGTCACTTCGCAATTTCAAATTCATTTTGATGAAAAATGAGATTGAATAATAAAAAGAAATGATCCGATACTACTCGACAAAGACCAATACTAATAAAAGTAGAAGAAAAATCTTTGCTAAACTTAAAGCTATGCGCATTCATGCTCCATTTTCTAAAACCCGATTTTCGTTTGTCCAGAAATTTGAATTCAATTAACTGCTAAATAATGGCGTACTGCGGAATAGCTATTCCATTTTCAAATCTGAATATTCCCCAACTCTCACATTAATTAATAAATCCTCCTACATTTTTACTGCTGTAAAAATATTCATATGTATTTATTTAATTAATAAATGAAAATCAATACACTTCCGCTCACACTGAACAAACAATCACAAACAAATAAAATAATTAAGTAAAACACATAACACATAACAACAGGCCTTTTATCCCGGAATGGGTAGGCAGAGGTGCACATTATGCCACGATACAATGTACTTAACACCCACTTGCGCGAGCCTATTGCCATATACCGGGCACGATTCCAGACTCCGTGCTACAATTGAGAATTTAAAAAAAAATTAATAATACTTTGCTCGACCTGGGAATCGAACCCGAGACCCCGGCAGTCGCACTTGCGACCACTCTGCCAACGAGGCAGTCATTAAGTAATATTTTATACTTAACACGGTTTCGCTTCGGTGTGACAGTGCCACCATCCCACATTGAGATCGTCACGTCACCGTGGCACACTGACGCATAATCAGCTTATACGGAACCAAAACATGATCTTGCTTCCTGTTTTTTATTATCTGTTGAGTACACAGAATTGATTTATTTCTTAAACTAATGAGGTCAACGTGTAGGGGGTTATGTAGAATAAAAAATGGCATTGGAAGGCGTATCGTGTCCTCTTTCATATTATTATGCTATTGCGAGTGTGTTGACTTTAAAAATGTAGGTCAGATGTTGAGAAGTGCCAAAATGGTAATAGATGTTTTGCTAGTTATGTTTTTGTACGACAATGCAATGAGATTGATTCTTGGTTTGGTCAGACTGTCATCATAGTGGTTTCCGATCTGAAATGAAATTGTGCGTAAGGTTTTTATTACGCGTATTACTTTGTAATATGTAATACATAACAATGTACACGAAACACCTTCTATTTGTGGCCATTTTATTCAATTTGTGCTTTCAAATCGCTAAAATTAATTTCAATCAACAAAACCCTATTTCGGATTAACTTCGAAAAGGCAAAACTATTGTTAGAAAGTACGTAGCAATTGTATCCATTACCCCCCTTATTTCCTCTTTAAAACCTAACCATGTTAATCACGAAATAAGGTCCATAATCGTTTAAGCTATTAGGACCGTTTAATATGGGTCGTTTGTCCAATTTCACAATTCGAAATGGCGCGGTAATCGCGATATCAACTGGACTATCAGGGTATAACCCGGTCGGGTTGCATGGTCATTACACAATTATATAATGTAAACTATGCGCTCCACTTCGCAAATAAGCAGTATAATAGGGTATGTTGCTATTCCCTGGTGTTCTAATTAGAAGGTAACGTGTAGCCAACTTGTACCTATATCTAAGTGTGTTAGGTCTCATACGCTTTCTGAGTATTAATTGGATGTGTATTTAAGCTATTAGTGGCGACCGACCTTAAAAGGTAATAACGACACTTCAACATTTTACCAATTATACTTACAATTTCCTTTCGTTCGGTTAAACTCATTTACAAAATACCTCTGTTAAGTAAATAGCCACTAAGAAGTATTCTTCTAAGGAGCCTATTGGCTTACTTCATTCAGAAGCTACTATATAGCTTTGCTAGATATAGTTCTTTTAGAGAACCATTTTTTTCCATACCACACTGAATGATGAATCACATCATCATTTACATAACGTCGCGGAAAACCTAACGGGTTACCGGGGCACCGGCTCGAAACGCAGGAGAAGGAACGGGATGGTTTTTAGTCAGTAAAGAGTCTGACACTCCCTCCCGTCTCACCTAGGCGGGAGCAGTCATTCGATGATTTTCCCCCTTTTAAAAAAAATCATTACCATAACATCAACATTATACTGTTAAAAACAAAACAGCGATGCGACAAATAACCTCCAAGGTATTAACCTCATAAGGTATTAGTCGCATCGCGTGAAAAGTCCTATGTTGGAATATGTTCTGACAACAAAATTGCTAGACTAATGGAATAGAGAATATATTCTAAATATAGCGTAAATACCTAATTATAGCATTAGTTATCTAGTTACAGATAACCTTAAAGTCTAAAGTGCACACACAGGGACATACAAACTAAGTATTACAGTATCGTTTACGTCAAAGTGCTCTTCATACGAGTCTACTATTGTTCTAAAAATAGTAGTAAAAGAAATTAATTGATAAACTTAATCTATATAAGATGGTTTGCAAACTTGAACTATATTTTGTCTAAGATAATTATAGTAGGTATGCTATCAGACTTAAAATGAAAGAAGTTCTACAATTTTCCGAATAGGAAAAACAAAAACCATGTACTTAGATAAGATACCTAATTCGTATCAAATGTCTTCATGAAAGTACCTATGTTAGTCTGAAGTGTGAAATCAAATAAATGTAGATATACAACCTTCACATAACTCCTAGGTATAATTAAAGCTAAGAATACACTAGGGAACAAATGTCCTGCGACACGTGTTGTCAGCGACGTCGGGCGAAGTAGCGAGATGTTGCCGGATTTTGGTCGACATGTCTGGTAACATCAACGTCACTGTGGACATAAGTTGCGCGTTGTCGCTTTATAATATGTCAGGCGACATCGGCCGGCTTCGCTCGACATGTCACCGATACATGTCTTAGGATATGTGTACCCTAGTGTATCCTCGGCTTTATACTTTAATTAAGGACACATAATAACTCTCACCAAGCTAAGTGACAATTAATAATGTGACTACATAATAGAAGTCTTCAAATCTCAACCGAACGTTAGCGACTGATAAATTAGCTCCTTATACCAACAGCGAACTGAAGCGTAGACAACTAAAATACCAAGTGAGCGTGCCAAAATCTCAGACATTCTACCCCAAAACTTAATAACTTGTTACAACCGAAATTCAACTTTAAAACAATCCCGTATAGTTTAGATTTAATTTGCCAGACAAATATAGAGTAGTTATACAAAATTGTACTATAAAGTTGGGGTTGTAAAGTCCAATTTTAAATGAGGTTACCCATGTTTAAGCTGTCCAAATAGTTAAAGTTGTTCTGTCTTAAATTCGATGTGAATCGCTGGCGTGGTTGGCGATAGCTACTTGAATAGAATTCTCGAACAATGTTGCCACAAAAATTAAGCCGAGAGTTAATCGATTTTTAACTTTATTGTGAGAATTGTAAGTTAGTTTTATACTCAATATTAGCTGCTACAGTTCTGTAAGCCGATCGTTCGTGCTTGTTCAGCATAATGTGTGGAATTCAACACCCAAGTCAAATAGACATATTTAAATCCTGGATTAATTGATATTGATTTTGGAGGTCGTGGTGGCCCGGAGGTTAAAGCACGAGGGTGCAGATTTGAAACCTACCAACGGCAAGTACCAATGTGACTTTTTCTGTGTTATATGTACTTTCTAATATTATTCAGACACCACTGACAAACGGTGAAGGAAAACATATTGTAAGTTTGAAATCGCCAACCCGCATTGGGCAAGCGTGGTGATTAATGCGCAAACCTCCGTGTGTGAATACGCTTTGCTCAGTAGTGGGTATTATAGGCTGTTGATGTAATTTTGAAGTATATACTGACACCATACAATAACGTCACCTTAATATATACTCGTATCCATTGAAGGTAAAAATCCTGATGGAAAGCCATGGCTGTCCCTGATAAACCACTTAGCTACCCACGCGAGTGTAAAGACAGATAGCTTTCAATATGAAATTAGTGCTTTAGAAGCAAAGACCCAGGATATTCCTGCATACCCTAATACTATTAAGCCGCTATGACCAATATCGAAATTCAACTAGCTTCGACGCTTCCATGGAGTAAAGATTGTCTTGAGATTAAATTAAACCAGGTCACAGTATAAAAAGGATTTGCAGCTGGCCTTGCAACTAGTTCGTTATTTTCAAAAAATGTAATCTTTCATGTTTTAAGTGAAGTTTTTTATTAGATACAATCCAATGTTGTATATTTTTTATCAATTAAGGTAATTGTTTTGTAAATATCCTCGATCTTCGACTGTCGTGCGTACTGCTAATAATGGTGGTGGCTTGAAAATAGTTGGAGCGCCTAGTCGAATAGTTACTTGTGCAAACCATATAATTTTATGAGTCTCACGATAAGAATCACAGTACAAAAATATAAAATAAATTGTAAATAATACAACATTTTCTTCTTCGACAAAGACACAGACAGAATGTCGTGCAATACATTAAAATAAGTGGAACTGTAAATATTTATCGCTCATTCCACTCACACATACACAAAATTCTTAGCGCGAAAAATAATCGCGAGGAAAACGTATTTCTGTTACAACTTCAAATGACGATTCAAGCTGAACGTCAATCAAAAATATTATTAGTACGAGTGTTTCTAAGAATAAAATTATTTCCACGAAAATAGAAATAATTTTCGTTAAGAAATTCGATGTCAAAGTTATTTTTTTCAGACGTTTCGTGTTGTTACGTAGCTAGACGTAAATCGAGCGTTGAATTATCATTTCTTTTTAAGAAGAAGAAGGAACGAGGTGGTTTTTAGTCAGTAAGAGTCTGATACTCTCATCCGCCTCACCCAGGCGGGAGCAGTCATTCGATGATTTTCCCCCCATAAAAAAACCCTATTCTCATGGAGAAAAACAATGAACTCTACTCTCAAATAAAAGGCACTGATACTTTTAAATGAACTAAAAATCTTATACCTAAATATCTAACACATAACTTTAACAAAGAATATCTCCAACATTATACTTTTATACAATACATTTTCAAAGCTGAGAGAGAATTCATCAAAAAACTCAATTTCCTCTTTTGACATCGTTCGTGATAATTTATATTGTTATACAAGTGACGTCATATTTAATAACTGAATCATGTACGTACTTTAACCCTTTGCTAAAAGTTATCGTAACTTTTCAAGTTCGTGCTCGTACGAGTCCGTAAAACCTATCTCATTATACTGATGTAGGTACAATCTTTTGATCGTCTTTGTTTAATATCCTTAGTTCCTTTTGATGTTACACTTCTCTTTAGCGAAGATTTCACTTCATTTTAAGATGACTTTACTGTTTTTTCCTCTGTATAGTATAGTTTTATGTTTATGTGGAAATTACTGTTTGATGAAGTAACTAGAAAGCTATTTTAACTGCTTAAAACTTACGAGGTTCTTCCAAAGTGCCTACAAATACAAGGACTTCTTGTACTTAACACGTATAAAAATATATTATCATCTAAAGGGTAGTAGACTAAATTTTATTGTAATGTCCGTCTGGTAGATTATTTAAAACATTAGACACGTATTTTTTTCTTACAAAATTAAATACTTTCGACGATATATTGATTTGAAATTAATCTATTTATCGACGACGATATATCGTGTGACGTCATGATTTACTACATTTTATAGGGCAGCGTGACGTAACGACTTCCCACTCCTAAACTTAACTCCGTTTTATCTAAGTATTGTTTTCTTACACGACAAAATAAAACATGTGTGTTATATTTTGTCATTATCTGACTGACTAATTACATTTTTAATTTTCATACACTGTTTACTACCATATTTGGAACATGCAGACAAATAATTTCATATACATTGTACAGTCAAAGGTCAAAAGTCCACTGCCAAGTCACACCATGAGTGATGTTCACACGGCAATGCGTAAGTAATTTCATATCAATGTGCATATAAACGCGTGCGTACGCATAAACACACGCACGCGTACGCACGCGTACGCACACGGATAAAAATATGCGTGTGCATGTGTGTATAAGCGCTGCAGCGCAACCGATAGTAGTCTTACGCTGGCAGTGGACATTTGACCTTTGACCGTACATTAATCCGGACTTCCTTCAATATATCAAAGAAGGTTCTTATTCTATTCTTCTTTCACAGGCCAAGAGTACAATTTCAACAAATTGACAGAAGAAGAAGTGAATTCGTTAGGACAGACATATGACTATGACTCCATCATGCATTATGCAAGGAACACGTTCAGTAAAGGAACGTATCTCGACACCATACTTCCATTGGAGGTCCACGGGAAGAAGAGACCGGAGATTGGCCAGAGAGTGAGACTCAGCGTCAGTGACATAGCACAGACCAATTTGCTGTATAAGTGTGCAAGTAAGTTATTGTAATATGCTTTTTTTTTGTTAGGCTGTACGACTTACGTAATTGTTCATCGAGGGTACTCGACTAGTTTCAAGCTCTCGATTTGTTTTTGACTTGACATTAAGTTTAATAATACAATCAAGTAGGTAACTGTTGGATACTGGCAAAGAAAATGTGATATTATTCTGTAACAAAAGTATCTATAGAAGTTAAATTTTGATTTTTTAAATATTGTATAATTTTCTACTAAAAATGTATAAAAAATAATTGTCTTCGGTAGGAAAAGGAACTGTTTTTATAATATTAAAAATTACACGAAACCAGGGTTTCCTACCTGGAAAATAATTATACACTAGCCTCCATCAACATTATGTTTTCCATAAAAAGTTATCATACTAGATTTAAACCCGAGTGTACACTGAGTGGAAGGGTTGAATGGATAAAATTAACATGTACCCGACCCCTAATGTTGTTAACAGGGCCCGCAGATGAAGACTAAGGCTTATCCTTGTTGAATATGAGAATTTATACTTGTACTATGCAAAATTATATAAGCACTCGTGTATTGATTTATGAAAGTTAACCAATGAAAAATGTATACGATTTTTATATATTCTTAGCTAATTCTGTAGAAACAGTCAAGAAAATATGTGGCCGTTATTTTTATGTAGAATACCTTAATCGCTTAGAACTGAATCCAATTTCAACAAAAATTAAAGAGAATCTGTAACTTAATTGAATTATTATACAATATATTATATAATAGGCCCAATTACCCCCTTCCCTAGTCTCTCCAATCCCCGAATCCCCCACAATCCTCAAACTCCTAATTCCCAAAAGGCCGGTAACGCACTTGTAACGCCTCTGGTGTTTCGGGTGTCCATGGGCGACGCCGATTGCTTACCATCAGGTGATCCGTATGCCCGCTTAACAGTTTATCTCATAAACCGGTAAATAATATAATAAAAAATACAAGTGAACACAGGTGTCGTTCATTATGCTATCACTACCAAACCACTGAATTGACTTTGACACATTTTGCCACAGAGACTACCAAGACGCCTAATATGTATATTAAGCAAGAGCCAATGTTTAAATAAGCAAAACCACAGACGAAAGTCTGTTTCAATTATGAGATAATTTTAGGGTCAAAAGAGGAATAATGGCTATTTAAACAGAACTGTTGATTCAAGTAATTCTGGAATATCAGCGTTATTCGTATTGATTTAAGATAGGATTTGTAAATTTACAATTTAATTACTTCAATGGTAGATATCTTTAGTTCAGAATTTTAGCCGCGGTATTATTTATGTTAGGTAACATTTATTATTGAGGCTAATAGTACAAAATTGTAACTGAAACACAGAAATAGAGAAATGTACCCAAATACACAGAGGTTGGCAACAGAATAACTAGTTTGTAAAAACTAACTAACTAACGTAATCGTTATCGTTGTTTAACTTATTGAGTTTTTGACTTTATCAAAAGTATTTTCAAACTATACAACAATAATTATGTCAAGTCAAAATCATTTATTTCATTTAGACCAGGGAGGCACTTTTAAACGTCAACAAAACGTGTAAATTGAAGCTATTTGCTCATTCCAAAGTGTAGATTCGTATGGAGAAGAATGACCAAAATCGCTATAGGTTACTCTTTTTTAGTCACATTCACAATACAATACAATAAAAGTATTTTTTATTATAACACTCGAGAGCTATTTTAAATTGTAATAATTAAATTAATTATCTTGAGTTGACTGTGCGAAACTCGCTGTGATCGCGCAATACAGCTCTTGATTATGAGCCCCAAGTGTCGCCTGAAACTAGTCCAGTTGCCTCGTCGGACACGTACATTGTGTAAGCCGTAAAACATAATTAATTTACGACAATAGTAGTCACCTGAAGAACTACAAATCCAACAAGATTGTCACGAACTTCACACTACTCTAAAATTAATTAACATGGCTCATAAGTCCTTTAACTAACCATAATTCGTACAGACTACTATTCAAAATATGCAAACCAGTATAAAATGATTCAAGAATATGCGGAAAAATCATACAAAACGAGACCATTATAAACCGGTTTCGTATGTTCAATGTGCTTCCGAGACAATATATCGTATTTTATAGGTTAATTAAATAATTATTATTTAATATTATAATAATAATAATAATAATTTATTTATTTGCGAAAAACACAAACAGAATGCGGAAGGACACTGTTGGGTAACTCGGGGTGGTTCAATTCCCCCGGGTGGGGCAGTGAGACTCCTCCGGCGACCCCAGAACGGTGTGAGTGGAGGATCGTGGCGACACATGGAGAAAGAGTTGTACTGAACATTACTGGTAAGTTCCTTTATATTTAAAAGCATATTTCTGTGGATTTAGTCGCCATGTTTTAAAGACAGTGGGAGAGCCATGCTTCGACACAAATGAGCCGGCTCGACCGAAGTGGTACCACAGCTTCACAGAAGACCGACGTGAAACAACGCTTGTATTGTGTTTTGTCGTGTAAGTGAATTTACCCAATTTCCCCACTGCACCGTAGCAATCATGCAGGTATTTTGTTGTTAGATGAGATCCATAGTTGAGCATAGCACTGTCATGAGCTGTCGTGAAAACAGATCCCCCTACAACAGCCTTTTCAAAGGAAAACAAATCAGATACTCTTCACTACATACATAGTATAAAACAAAGTCGCTATCCGCCGTTTGTCTGTCCCTACGTATGCTTAGATCTTTAAAACTACGCAACGGATTTTGATGCGGTTATTTTAATCGATGGAGTGATTTTTAAGGAAGGTTTATATGTATAATACATGCATATTGCACCCGTGCTAAGCCGAGACGTGTCGCTAGTATTTGATAAAAATAACTTATTCAAAAGCAAGCCAATAAGTGAATGTGTGTTCTGTAAATTAGGTATTGGATTTAGTCTACACGTTCTTAAATGTCAAGTCTTCATCAACTTAGGCAAATGAGATTCGCGTCTCATAGGTACGGTACCAACTGGTGAAATCTAGGTAATTGATTTAATTCATTTCCTAGTGAAAATTACATTTTAAGATTGACATTTAAATCTGTCTCGTGCCCTGACTAAAGAGTTTCAGTGAAATGAATTGAAGGATTCATAATTACTATGACTTTTTACTTGATTTAAATTGTCTGTCTGACTTCGTCCGCGTAGAATTCCTGTTTTATCCTGTGGCAAATCATGTCACATGTCAAATGATTTTTTTTTTACGGAGTGAAATCATCGAATGACTGCTCCCGCCTGGGTGAGGCGGGAGGGAGTGTCAGACTCTTACTAACTAAAAATCACCCCGTTCCTTCTCCTGCGCGTCGAGCCGGAGCCCCGGTTACCCGTTAGGTTCTCCGCGACTCCGAATCGGCATCGGCCCTAATGGGCCCCGTCTGTGGTGGTCTGATGGCTCTGTGAGGCGCGCGCGGAACGCGACGCGCCGTACGCTCGGGTCTGTTTATGGTCGGACGGGGAGCTACCCATGCTCGCCGTCCGCAGGCCCGCGCTTACGGTGACCGGAGATCGTCCCGCGATCCTCGACGCCCGGTGTGTCCTTTGCGATGGCTGGGTTGCGAGGAGGCAGCGCTTCGCTGCCTCACGCATCCCGCCTCCTCCTTAGCTAGCATGACTGCTTCGCAAAAGGAAGAGACGGCATCCCAGTCCCCCTCGCTCCGCATCATGGCCTGCACTAGGCCCGGACGCGAGTGGTCGCCATCGCCGATCACTTCCCTGAGTGCACGGCGGTGCTCAGGGCACGCAGGGCATTCTCCCACTGTGTGTTCCACCGTGTCCTCAGGGTGGTCCTCGCAGTGATAACACCCGGGCGTTTCCTCCCGCCCCATCAGACATAGGTACCTCCCGAAACTTCCATGTCCGGTGAGGACCTGCGTCAGGCGATAAGAGAGGACGCCGTAGCGTCTCTCAAGCCACTCGTCAAAGAGAGGACTTACCGCTGCGATGGCAGCGAGCCCAGCCCTCGGTTGCGACAGTCGTAGCTCACGCACTTAGATGAAAACAAATCAACGGATGACGTCACAAGAATCCTAAATCGCACATGCAAAGTTTACAATTAAGACTGATAGAAAATCCCAACGAACAACTATTGGGTACAATACCCGCCAGGCACGATCACCTCGCCTGGTCGGGGGATCCTCCTTTTCCGATCTCAGGGAACTATACTCTCTGTTCCCTGAGTTAAATCCCATGGGAACATTTAATCGGAATAAAAAGTATCCTATCAGTATTAGCGACAGACAATCACCCAAACATCCAAACAAACAACCTTTCACATGTATAATATTAGTGTGATTGATTAATAAAAATCACACCCAGAAATTTATAGAAGAAAAATATTTCCGCGCACATCGTATCGAGTAAAAACCGCTTTCGAATCCCGAAATTGAATAGTCGGTCAATCCAAACCATCTCATACCTAGATATAGATAAATCAGACGCACCCCATACTAAATAAGAACCATTTGTTATCAAGAAATCTGTGTCTGAATACGACCTAAGAATAAATGTTGGCTAGAATCCATCCATTATGATCTACATCTACGGAATACTAATCTATAGTCATAATATGCCAGTGACAACGACAGCCCTCTACAAACGTGCAAAGCTGTGTGTGTGAGAGCCAGGCTTCAGCACGAATTGGCTCGACCGAAGTGATACCACGGCTTCACAGAAAACTGACGTGAAACAACGCTTGCCTTGTGTTTCGTCGTGTGAGTGAGGTTACCGTTGGCCCAATTACATGTAACACCCACTTTTTACTAATTGCTCATGTAATAGGGGTAAGCATATTGCCATATATTGAGCACAATTCCAGACTCCGTGCTACTACTGAGATGTTTTTTAAAAACCCAGTAATACTTTGCCCGACCCGGGACTCGACCACTCGGCCAACGAAAACTTAATGTCACGATTTGTAAAGAATTCAATTCTGGACCAAAAACTCAACAGTTCCCCTGCAACCAACATACCAAACACAAAACGGTTTGCTATCAAAAAAAAACGCTTCTATAAAAAAGATCAGAGACGTGGCGTGAAAGACGTCATTCTTATCCCTATCCATTGTCTCGGCATTATATCAAAAATCCCATAGCTACACCCCTGCCTGAATACGTCACGAAAAGAGCTCTTCTAGGAAGGTTTTGAAGTGTTTGCAAAGAACCTTCGCAGCCCAATTTTGCTGTAGAGCCTACTTGAGACAACCCTCGGCGGTTACGGAATCGCTAATTTTTATAAATGCACGCAAATGGCTTCTTTACATACACCATGTTGGGTCCTGCCACTTATGTGTGTAGTGTATGTGATTTATGTACAGCTAAGGTATGATAAAGTACTGAAAAGGTCTATATTTGGTTTATTCTTAAGTAATAATACTTAAAGTGTGCGTTATAATTACTCCTAACAGAGGTTTTACACATTCGTCTGCATGTCTGTTAAGTTTGTTTACTTTTTTGGTCTGTTTAACAATGGCCAACTACCAAATGTAATGATCAGCCAATGGTACGTAGGTACATATGTCTTAATGGCAAGCCTGTCGTTCGTATAAAGGTAGATATGCCAAACCAGTTTATGAACAATGTCGTTACACCGATATTCTTGAACCAAGGAAACCAATTTACCATGAATTTTTAAGACACTATAAAATCCGACACCTACTTGTATACAACATAAAATGTGAATCTTATCCTAAAATATTCAACAAAATATAAAAACAAGCGCTTTCTACTTCTACATAAGAATCGGTAAAATATTACATTCGGTACATAATTTCCGTTTCGTTTCTCACAACTGACTCACTAAATCTAAATCTCCCGAAGTAAAACATGAACTTGATGCTTGGGACCTCATATTTAGGGTCTTACTTTATTAGCGAACAACCCTTTTAGGGTCTCATTATTTTAGCGAAAAAGAAAATTCTAAACACGAGTGTAAAATTATTTCTTTGTTCCTCTTGTAAATGTAAATAATTATTAGATAAAAATGTTTTGTATCACTTGGGTTGGCTACAGGCTTAGGTTGATTAATTTCAACTTAAAGTGAGAAGTTAAATTGACCCCTATCTAGTCATTATCATTCTCATCAGGGGCGGTCTGCCAACATTTGGAGCTCTCTGCTGGGACTGAATGTGCCCCCCCCCCCCTCTGCTTTTTCTAGGTTATAAAAATACAATATAAAAATACATAAAAAAGTTGTTCCGTGCGAGAATGGAACCCAATTCACGCTGCGCGGCAGCCGGTTGTAGCTACTGCGACAACCATTTGTGGTTGCTGCAGTCACCCTGCAGTCATGTCATCATCATAATATTATTCCTATCATACCATACACAGTTACATTGTCACCATCATGATAATAAGGGTACATAACATACCATCACACCTTTTATCCTCGAAGGGGAAGGCAGAGGTGCATATTATACCACTGTACAATGTAGCACCCACTTTTTACTATTTATGACTCCCATGTAATAGGGGGTGAGCCTATTGCCATATACCGGGCAAAGTTCCAGACTCCGTGCTACTACTTAATTTTTTAAAAAACCCAGTAATACTTTGCCCGACCCGGGAATCGAACCCGAGACCCCTTGCCCGGCAATCGCAATTGCGACCACTCGGCCAACGAGGCAGTCTAATTAATAATTTCAGGAAAGTGAATATTATATTTAATTTTAATATTATATGTTTGCACTTTTCATAGGTATTGAAATGATAACTTGACTATAAATGATGATGATGGCGACGTCATCTACCCCAACATACTATATTGGAACTTTTTATTATTATATCCGTATAAATCAAGGAATTGTCTCCGCAATAATCCTTCATACTAGAAATACTTTGACGGGCGTACCTCGTTAAGTCTTATCTACCAGACAAATGGGGGTTTGGACAAGCGGTCATAATCCTGTTTGTGTTGTTATAAGCTGCTGTCAAACGAAGTTATGGTTTTTATTGAGGCTAAAGGTTTGTACGAAAATTTTGGTTTGATTGATTTATTGATGCATATGTCAAGGGAAACGACATTTTAAGGAGGTTGACATGAGCCTAATGATATGGGACGGCTTTCTTCTTGTTAAGAAGGATTTTGTCTATAAGTGCGTGATATAATTTTTACTGGTTTCATAGATATTTCTCTCGCAAACACTTTTAATACCTGTCTATAACGTAATCCATGAGAATACTTACGTTTTTGTTTTATAACTTTCGTGAGTGACTAAATAAATTTTATGGTTTCGGCTTACTCACGTAATTCGCGAAACTGAGCCTATACCCTGAGCTACTCACGAATACGAGCCTCTAGCATGGCTTGAAACT